CGCACTCACCTCTAAAAGGAGGTTTGAGATGATATAAGAAAATAATGTCATTATTATGGCATGAATGGTCATTGGTCACGTACCTATTGTACACCAAAATATTTTGGCATTGTGATTGTTAAAAGACAACGGTAATGCAAGAAACAGATCTTGCATAAAATTTTGACCATAATCATAATGGTATAACTTTCTCTTTAAAAGAGATATTCACCATATAGGTGTTGATGAATATGTGGTACTACAAAATTAATTGAGAACTCTGCAAGAGCCAATTATACTATTTTGGAGAAACACAATTAATTACCAATAAGGTATTGTGCTGTAGTAAGTCTCAAAGAAACTTATTCAGTTTCCAAAGTATACGGGAAAGTGGTTGATTATATTGAGACTATAAATAAAGGAAAGATTTAATATCTTCTATTACTACAACTTGTAGCGGGGTAATATGTATGTGAAAAGCTACCCGCTTTATTCTCCAATTTGTACTACATAAACAAAAGAATACCACAATGAAGTGGATATTTATTGATATAAAAATTCATATCATAATAAACTTGGAGTTTATTCATAATTGCACACATCATAGTGTAAACCTGAAGTTTATCAATATTGATAATTTATCCAGTTGGCATAATTGGTTTAGCCATGTTAATTCAAGTATGATGTGCAAAAATAAAAGAGAATTCACATGGGTAAATATTAAAAAACTAGAAAGTTCTTTACGAATTCTCTTACATTGTTTGTTCTCATTAATTAATAGACCAATTAAAATTGGGATTGAATCCCATGAATGCTGGAAATATCAAAGGTGAATATGGGCCCATTCACCTGCCATGTATACCACATAAGATGCATCTATGAGATGGTTACATGTGCGATTATTATTAACCCGCAACATGGTGTTTTGCGAGGTAACTTGCTCAATAATTTAATTTCGAGCATAATTTCCAGATTTTTTTATTCAAGAAGTTCATCTTGATAAGTTGGTTTACATCACAGTTCGTTTAGCAAAATGATTTATTGAGTGCCTCCACTTAATAGCTAAACTATTGCTTATGAGAACAAAGTTATATATATCAGTTTGATATACGTTATATACGAAAGTATATTCTTTTCTCCCCTCACAAGTGGTTCATGGTCAGGAACCAAATAATTCCATCTTATTATTATTGATGTGCGGTGTATATTTTGATTAACACCATACCGCACAAAGATGAGTTCTTAAAGTTGAGGAAACAAGTTAGTTTTTCTAACATGAGGGGGAGACATGATAAACAGTTGAGAAAAAGTTACGTGGAATGAATTATCATTTGTACATCTAGATCCTCGAATAAAATAATATGAACTTGAAGTTCATAAAAGGATAATTCATGTGCAATTTATTGCAAAGCATGCCAGACGCATTTGCTGACCCAAAGAAAGTAACTATATTCTCATTGCAAATGCTCATATTAAGTCCTAGAAGGACAAAGTCTATGGTAAGCTTAAAGCGTATAGACAATCGGTTTCAAATAAACTTCTTGATAAAGAAGATGAGAAAATGATCAAAATGATCATAATAAAGGAGGCAAGTGATCTAGAAGATCACATGACATAACACTTCATAAAATCTCATGAGAGATTCAGGTACCTGAATATATGAATGAAGAGATCTCTATGTTATGTCTTTATGAAAAAATATTGAAACCGATATAAAATGTTTGTCGACGACATTGATTATAACACTAAATATATATGAGGATCTTAAGTCTGGAGAAACAAATTCAAGTAGAATTGGTTTCATATGAAAGACAAGTAGTTTTGGACCTGCAGTTCAAACACTTAAAAGTATAAAGTCAATGGTGTGTGCTATCACCTTTATCTATCTTATATGTCTAGCATGACATGAAAACTTGATATGCATCTAAAGTCTATTTATTTGGCTTATATGACTTAACAATCCCTGAAGGATTTAAATTGCTTAAAGCATATAGAATTCATGGTCATGAAGTACTACATCCTCAATGCAATTTGTGCACAAATGTATCTTGCTATAACTATATGCATGATAATATGATAGCAAGAGTTTTCACCTCTATGTGAAGATATTGAACTGACGATTCCAACAAGATCATATGAAGACAATTCATCTCTATCAAGAATGATGATTTCAAGGTGCAATATATTCATTCAAGTTAATATGGCTGATTTGTTCATCAAATCTCTACAAAAGATCTTTTAAAGATGGTGCACAAGATTGGAATGCAAATGCTCAAGGATGTGAATTGATGCTCTCATCAGGGGGAGTTAATACGCGTTGTACTCTTTTTCCCTTACAAGATTTTGTCCCACTGGGTTTTCCTTGCAAGGTTTTTAACGAGGCAACCAAAAGGCGTATTGTTAGATATGTGTACTCTTTTTCTTCTCTAGAATTTTTTTCCCACTGGGTTTTATTTTAGTTAAGGTTTTAACGAGGCATATTATTTGTTGAATAGACATTCAAGGGGGAGTGTTATAAATAGAATTTTATTTATGGTGAATGTCTATATTTAGAGAGATTCTAGGGTTTATTACTTGGTGGCTAAGTCACTTTTTCCCTATAAATAGAGAATTTTATTCCTTTGTAATTCATCCCAAATCAATAAAAATTCTCTCCCTCTACTTTTCTCTGTAATACTCTTCTTCTTTTATTATTTTACAACATAATGCCAATTATGGTAAAAAGAACAATTATTTTGTACTTTTGAGAACATGGTGGTCAAGAAAAGGGGAAAGGGAGATGTTTCAGACATTGGCATTCGATACTTTGTCGTGACTTGTTTCCTGTGCACTTTGTCCCCACTACCACACTTTTCTAAAACCTTTGAACGGTGAAAGTCCAACCTTACCAAATACAATAGCTAACCCTAGACATTAATGCGACAAATTTATCGCATGCCGCGTCGTTATGTTTAATTATTGACCTATAGTTCACTTGTTTGAGCGGTGGGAGCAGCAACTAATACTTGCATTACAGTAGGATACTTATATCAATACTCTCATAGCGGTACCGTCCTTTTTCGGATCCTGTATGAATACAGGAAGTAATCACTAATACTTGCATTACGGTGAGCTATTTACATCATACCCAAAGTGTCCAGTCCTTTTTGTGTGAATACGAGATACTTTGTACATCAAACTACGCATCTTAGATTTCAAGACTAGTTCAAATTTACTTAAGTGCTTGTTACATGCTCTATACATATATGTACTTTCAAGGTTAATTAAATTTTAATAATTAAAAATAGGAAAAAATGACTCCTAATATATTTTCAATGTGTAACACAACACTCAACCAAAACAATTAAATCTTCCTTTTATATATTCATGCAAATAGAATGTCGATAAACTGGTATTTTAAAATTGAAAAAGATTAATGAGCTTAATACTTTGGTATGCCAATTTAAATCGAATTATTAGCAGTCCTAATCACAAGTCGACTTGTCAACGATTAGTAATATAATGATAAAAGTAAAAAAGAAGTTTGATACATGCACATGGGAAGGCTAATGTGTCTGATAGCCTGTTTGGCCAAGCTTCTTTTGGGCTAAAAGTGTTTTTTTTTTTTTGCCAAAAATACTTTTGGCAAAAAATTAAGGTGTTTGGTCAAGCTTTTGGAAGGAAAAAAAGTGATTTTGATGAGAAGCAGAAGCTATTTTGGAGAAGCAGAAAAAAGTAAGCTTCTCTCAAAAAGCACTTTTTTGAGAAGCACTTTTGAGAAAAATACACTTAGAAGCAGTTTTTTAAAGCTTGGTCAAACACTAATTGCTGCTCAGAAGTACTTTTCAAACTAATTAGCCAAATACAAACTACTTTTCACCAAAAGTACTTTTAAAAAAAGCATTTTTTAAAAAATACACTTCTCAAAATAAGCTGATTTTTGCAGCTTGGCCAAACGGACTATAATTCTAGGAAAAGTGACATTAAACCGCACCGAAGAAGACTGCAATTTGGGACCTTACTATTTTGACAGCACAAAAATGATTATACAATATATTTCTTCGTTTCAATTTATGTGAACATATTTAACTGTCACGGAGTTTAAGAAAAAATAAAGATTTTTAAAAATATGGTCCTAAACAAATCAAAAAGGGGCCCATAATATTTATATAATTATAAAAAGTTTTTATTAAGGATAAAATTATAAGTACAAATAAAATTATTTCAAATTTAAAAAGGAATTGTTTATTTTAAAACAAACAAAAAAAAATAATTTCACATAAATTTAAGGCGGAAGAGTACTATATGCCAACAACAATGAACCACCGCCTCTCTGCAGAACCGCTTTAAAAAGTGTACTCATAAGCCTCTACGTAAGGCTCTTATCTTAAAAAAAGAAAAGGAAAGTCAGAACTGAGAAAGGAAAATCTTTGATGTACTTGTAAATATTAAATGAAAAAGTACTAAAAGAAATCAGAGTTATACAGAGTTTGACCCAAAAAAACTAGACCGTACTAGGAGTAATACATTTTGTTAAGGTAATACTTCCTCTTTCTAAAAAGAATTTCTCCTAGTGTTTGAGTTTATATGACACATTTTATTTATCGATAGTTAATTTAATTAATTTTTAATATTAAAATGAATCATTATAATTTTATATTTTAAAATTAAAATTAAAATATTAAAAAATTATATAAAAATACTATAAATTATAATTCATTTCATATCAATATAATTAAAAAATATATCATTTAGAATATTAGTCAAATTTCATACCGTTTGAATTGAGAAGTGAAATTTGTCAACTAAATTAAAATGGAGGGACTCATTATCTTCTTATTACATTTAAGAAAGAATAATATTTTTTAAGTTTAAAACAAATTCGACCTGAATTTTCATTTTATATTTATTAATAACTTTTTTATGATTAAAAAAATATTTATATTATAAGGTTTGAAAATATTACACAGGATATTATAATATATTCAAAGTTTACAAATTTTAAAAATTGTCATTTATTGATGAAGTGCTAAAACAACTCTTGCCTCATATCTCTCGGCTCAGAAAAAACTCAGAAACAATATTTTACCAATTTCTTGCTAAAACCACAAAGGCACACTTATTCTTTACATATAAAGTGAGAGAGAGAGAGACCAATCTAAAGCATATAGATCTGGGGTTGAGATTTGCTGGAAAATCCATTAGGGTTTTTCTAGCTGAAGATCAAAGAAAGGTATATATATAGCATATCACATATGGGGTTTCATTATTATGAGGTTTAATTGAGTCTGCTCTTTTTTCTTTGAGGTTCTTGTCATTTGATCTCTGTTTTTTGAACTCATTTAAACAAAGCAAAAGCAGCAAAGCAAGAAAGGAAGAAACTTGCGTTGTTTTTCTCACTCTTTTATTACCCCAATGTGACGTAAAATAGCTGGTTGGTGCGTCCAAGATTACTTTTGGCTGTTTCTTATATATCAAAACCCTATTTTTTATTATATAAAAGGAGAGAGAAACAGTGTTGTTGACTGTAGATAGATAGCTTCTGGTTGAATTTTACCTTGGATAGTGAGAATTTTAGGTAAAGAGTGAAGAACAAGGTATGGCTAATAATCGTTGGTGGGCTGGAAATATAGCGATGAATCCAATGGTTTCATTATCACCAGCTTCAGCTTCAGCTTCAGCTTCTTCTTCTCTTCCTTTAAGAATTAACACACAAGAAAATAACAACCGACTCGGCCAGAGAAGAGAGCAAGAGTTCATGGATACAACAGTTGAACCTATCACCACTACCACCGCCACCACAACTAGTAGCGGAAGCAACAATCAAAACCCTAATGAGGCGGAGCATGATGAGAATATCCACAGTTCTGGAGGTATGTCCTCTGGACCGTCCAGCTCTAGGGGAGCTGGACGTAGGCCCAGAGGAAGACCAACGGGCTCGAAGAACAAGCCCAAACCACCAATTGTGGTAACTAAAGAAAGCCCAAATTCCCTTAGAAGTCATGTATTGGAAATTAAAAGTGGAAGTGACATAATTGAGAGTATTGCAACTTTCGCCCATCGTCGCGGGCGGGGTGTGTCCGTTTTAAGTGGCAGCGGCATTGTGACGAACGTCACATTGCGCCAACCAGCTGCAGCGGGTGGAGTAATTACACTGCACGGGCGATTTGAGATATTGTCGCTTTCTGGTGCATTTTTGCCTGCTCCTTCACCTCCTGGAGCAACTGGATTAACAGTTTATTTAGCAGGAAGTCAAGGACAAGTTGTAGGTGGAAATGTTGTAGGTGAATTAATGGCATCAGGTCCAGTAATGGTAATTGCAGCAACTTTTACTAATGCAACATTTGAAAGGTTACCATTGGAAGAGGAGAATGTAAGTGAAGGAATGGAAATGCAAACTCCAGTAACTTCAGGGGTTAATACTGGAAATTCTGGTAGTATGGCTGATACACCACCTTCTTCTATGCCTATGTACAATTTGCCCACTAATGTTTCCCCTAATGGTCAAATGCCCCATGATGTTTTCTGGTCTCCTCCTCCACGGCCTCCTCCATCCTATTAATCGACTTAACTAGACAATAGTCAGTTACCATTTAGTGGACCTCTCAGTATGATTCGAACCCAGATGAAGTTCTGACCATCTATCAGAAAAAAGAACGAAAGGATCTTGTAGGATTCGCGAAAAATTCTCAGTATGAACAATACTTAAACGTGCTTTTAGTTCTCCTTGTAATCATTGTTAACTTTCTTGACCCTATTGTATAATGACTTGTGAATCTTTAATTTCTTTCTATTAGGTTTTTAGTTTATGTTTGTAACTTTGTATCCTTAAAGGGTTTATTAAGTTGGTTTCTTCTTGGTCAACTATGTTGGTAGAATTGTTGAATTGTCAGTGATGTAGGTAAGATAATCTTGTCTAGACATGGAGATGAAGCAGTTACAAATTTCCAGGAATTCAGGTATCATTAAATACTGCCTTGATTTGTTTTTTATATTGCTATTTTGTACTTGACGAGTTCAATCTTTATATTCTTAAACATTAAACTTTTTGTATTTTTGAAAATTTTAATGTTTTTTCATATATATTTTTGAGTTAAAAAATGCTAGGTTTTCCAATCAAATTATTTTCTATCGGAATTAGGGTAGGCTGTCAACTCACACCCCCTTGGGTTGCGCCCTTATTCAAACCCTGTATGAGCTCGGAATGCTTCATGCATCAAACTGTCATTTTGGGGATTATTGAATCTATATTGCATCCACCTTTTCTGCTGTCTAGTCCCTCTTAAACCTTCTAATTCTGGTGCGCTAATTTTATATTCAACAGCTAGCTACTTAGGTAGAGTTATTTCTTTGATAGCTAGCTGTCTAGGTAGAATTATATCTTCAATACCTAGCTATCTAGATTGAAAGCTTGGAGCTTCGTTTCTAGTTGGGTGTCCCTGAGTAGACCTAATCCTGGGATTGCAATTATCTATCGTTTGGTTATTGGTAGGTATTAATTATATATCAAAATCTTGATATTATTTATTCCACATAGGTAGAGGATTATAATCGTAATCCTGGTTATAATTCCGGGATTATAATCTAGGATAACCTTGTTTTGGCCCAAATAATCCGAGAGTAGAGAAAAGGACTGGAGTGTTAATTAAGTCTCTTGACCTTCTTCAACTAAATTCGGATTTGGATTACTAGTCATTCATAAAGGGCAGCTTGGTGCACTAAGCTCCCGTTCGGGTGCGGGAAAGGGACGGACCACAAGAGTCTATTATACGCAACCTTATCCTGTATTTCTGCAAGAGGTTCGTTTTCACGGTTCGAACCCGTGACCTTCTGATCACATGACAATAACTTTACCAATTATGCCAAGGTTCCCCTTCATATTTAATGTAAATGGAAAATTTTGCTATATGAATTGGAAGGAGAATGTTAGCTATATCTTCAGAGACTTTTAAGGTGAGCTATTTCTTTTCATGCTAGTTGTAGTTCATGACAATTTTTTTTTGGTAGAAATAAATTTTTTATTTAATCATCCCAAAAATACAGTTACAATTTCAAGTCCCCTATCTTTCCTGAGTCCTGCCTACACTTTGTTCTATACAGTTACATTTTCATTATACAAGAGACCTATTGCTATCTGTATAACTGTTCTATCCAGTACAGGTTGTCGTTGTTTTCCTTCTTCTTCATTGCCTCCATGCATCTGTGTTTGCAAGCAAGTTGAATCTGTTTTAACAGCACTTGTGGTCGAGGTACTCTTTTCCTCCATAATGCTTTATTCCTAGCTTTCCATATGTAGTATATAACTGCTGCCAAAGCTGCTTTTGTGAATGATCTTCTTGCTTTACCTTTTGCAATTCTAGCCATCCTTCTCCCTATTCCTGTTACCTCAGTGTTTTGTATGTTCATCCCCAGCCATTGCAATACTTCAGTCAAGCACATTCTAGAGTATGTGCAATCAAAAAAGAGGTGGTCAATGGATTCTGGTTTTCCTTCACATTGCATACATTCATTGTCTTCAGTGATGTTCAGCTTCATTGTTTTCTCCTTTGTTAACAATCTCTTTCTCATCACTAGCCAGTTAATAAAACTGTGTTTAGGGACATTCATTCTATTCCAGACTTCTCTGCACCAAGGCCATTGCTCTAGCTTTCCTCTTCTCCAGTTGTAGCCCTTTTTGATTGTGTATTTCCCTGTCCTTGATTGCCATCCATTTTCTATGTAGCCATTACCATATACATCCCTGATTGCACAAATTTTCCTCCAGTACCAGCAACTATCTACAGGGGGTCTATGTTGCCACCACTCTTCTCCCTTTAGGTATATATGGTTAATCCATTTCACCCATAAGGTTTCTTCCTTGTTAGCAATATTCCATACATATTTGGCCACTGCAGCTTCATTCCATGTAATACATTCCCTTATACCCAGTCCTCCTTCCTTCTTTGGCCTGCAGACAAGGTCCCAAGCCACAAGTGGTACCTTTGTTGATACACTCTTCCCTGCCCATAAGTAGTTTCTGCATATGGATGTGATATCTCTAAGCACTTTCTTAGGAAGGATGAAAATTGATGCCCAGTATGAGTGTATATTAATCAGCACAGAATTGGTTAATTGCACTCTTCCTGCATATGATAGACACCTTGATCCCCATGAGTGAATTCTTGTGCTTAGTCTCTCCACCAACAATTCACAATCACTTGCCTTTAATTTCCTTTGCAGCTATAGGAACTCCTAGGTATCTGAATGGCATAACCCCTTCCTTGTATCCTGTTATTTCACATATGTTCTCCAGGCATTATTTGTCCATGTTTGCACTGTATATGTTTGATTTCCCTGCATTTGTACTCAGACCAGAAGCATTAGTGAATGTTTGCAATCCCCTCACCAGTAACATGATGCTGTGGTAATCCCCTTTGCAGAACATCAGAACATCATCTGCAAAGCATAGGTGATTCAGCTTTAGGCTTTTACACTTTGTGTGGAAAGCAAACCCCTCCTGTGTTGCTACCCATTGCATAATTCTAGTAAAATACTCCATGCAGATCACAAAGAGGAGTGGTGATATTGGATCACCTTGTCTTAGGTCCCTTTTCCCCTCTATACATCTATGTACCTCACCATTTATAACAATTGAATACTGAGTGGTTGTCATGCATTCCTTTGTCCACTTAATGAATTTTGTAGGGAAGTTTAAAGCATAGAGCATCTCTTCCACAAACCCCCACTCCACAGTATCATAAGCTTTTTTGAGATCAATCTTTATTAGGCAGCTTTTTGTTGAATTCTTCCTGCTATAGAGCTTGACTAGATCATGGCATATCAGGATGTTCTGTACTATATTTCTGCCCTCCACAAAGGCACTTTGATTCTCTGATATTATAGTTGGAAGCACTCCTTTGAGTCTGTCGCACAGCACCTTTGAGATGATCTTGTAGATTGTGTTGCAGCATGCAATTGGTCTATAATCTCCTACACTGCCTGCATAGTTATTCTTAGAAATCAATGTTAGAACAGTTCTATTAATACTCTTTAACATTCTTGTGGTATCAAAGAACTCCTTTACACTGTCCACCACATCCTTTTGAACTACTGACCAGCAATCTTTAAAGAATTGAGCCCCATATCCATCTGGTCCTGGTGCTTTATCACCTCCTATTGCCCAGAGTGCTTCTTTGATCTCCTTATCTGTGATTGTTGCTTCAAGGAGTGCTCTTTGCTCCTTCTGTTCTACTGGCCCTTTCTTTACTAAGCTGTTGCATACATGCTTTCTATTACCTTTCTTTTCACCTAGTAGCTTTGTATAGAAGTCTGTGAATGCCTTTGCTATCCTTTCAATCCCTTTTTCCTCATTCCCTTCAGCATCCTTGATAGTGAATATCCTGTTAGCATTCCTTCTAGCTTTGATTACTGTGTGAAAGTATTTTGTGTTTTGGTCTCCTTGCTTTATCCACTGCACTTTACTTTTCTGCCTCAGGAATTGTTCTCTAGCTGTTTTCCATCTAGCACTTTCTTTCATTAATTGAATTTCTTCATCAATTAGGTCCCTATTCCTGGGGTCCTTTTGGATCTTCCTTTGACATTCTGTCAGTTGCTCCATTGCTTCTTCTGCTCTCTTTTCTACATCTGAGAATCTTTCTTTATTTAGTTTCAGCAACACCCCATTTGTTCTGTTGAGCTTCCCTACTAGTTGATACATTTTTGTGCCTTGTATTTCCTTCTTCCACTCTTGCTGAACTCTTTGTTGGAATTCAGGAATCATACTCCACATGTTGAAGTATTTAAACTGCTTCTTCTTCTTTCTATTCCCTCCTTCCCAGTTAATTATTGCTGGACAGTGGTCATAGATGCCCTCATGCATGAAGTGAACCTCTGATGGTGGTAGTTCTGTCACCCATTCAGCATTAACCAATACTTTGTCAATTCTACTATACACCCTGCTGTCTCCCCCTTGCTTGTTATTCTAAGTGAAGAAAGCCCCTGAAGATTTTAACTCCTTCAAGCCATTGGTGTCAATACATTGCTTAAAGTCTCTTGTTTCAGCCACAGTGACTCTACTCCCTATTCTTTCCTCTTTGTTTAGCACACAGTTGAAGTCCCCCATCACTGCCCATGCCTCATGTATTGTAGCCCCTATTTGGTTGATATCTTCCCATAGTCCTTTTCTGTTAGCTTGGTCATTTAACCCATATACCATAGTCAGACTGAATTTGCTTCTACTTCCCTTGTGCTCTACATAACAGTGTATCAGTTGCTCAGTGACTAACTTTATATCTACATCATAGATGTGTGGTTTCCACAACACCCATATCCTGCCCCAGGATGTTTGTCTATATTTGTAACAAACGACCATCCTTAGCAAAGATAAAAAGAAGCATTTACTGCTTTTGCTCTTTTTATCTTTGTTTCCAGAAATCCAAACAAGCCAACCTTCAAATTATGGACAAACAGGTTCATTTCCTTCTGTTTGTCTGGCTTATTTAGACCTCTGGCATTCCAAAAACCAATGCTATCCATTTGAGTTGGGGTTTCCCCCTCCCTTTCCCAGTTTAGGACCCTTATCAGCTACACCTTCCTCAGGGCAAGAAGGCTTGGCTACCATACTACTAGTGTTATTTTGCTCACCTAGTGCAGCAAATGAATTCCCAGTGTCCACCTGTGGTTCCCTTATCACAATTCCTCTTCTTTCATAGCCTCTTTTGTAGTTGTATTTGCCATTGTCTCACTTCTACCTGCTTACCTGCTCTTTGTGGAAAGTTTTCCTCTCTATTTTCTTTCTCTGCTGTCCTTTCTTTAGTGACAATTTGTTTTCCATTTTTCACTTTGTTTTCTCCAGTTGTTGCACCTTCTGCTTGTTCCTTTGCCTT